TCCCTCCCCCTCTTCTTTGCCCTCCACCCCCTTCCATTAATGCCTCCCCTCTTCTCTCCCTCTCCTCTCCCACTATCTCCCTAGCTAGCTCTCTCTCTCTCCCTAGCTAGCTAGCTAGTTAGAGCTATATATCTAGAGCTACTAGGTAATTAAGAAGAAAGGTGCTTGATATCCCTCTCAACACATAGGTGAGCAAAAAAAGATGTTTGTGTGGATAGGACTGCAACTATATATATGGGCGATATGAGAATATATATACCGAATTGTGTGTGACATAATTTGAGTTGCCTACATTGTGTATTTGATGAAATAATGTGGGTGACATGAGTTGCCTATGTTTTGCCGAAATGATGATTCAATTCCGTTCCGGTGAATTTCGGGCAAACTCAATACGTCCTATGTTTAGGGAAGTTCATGCCGAATTTTTGTATGAATTTGATCCATGCATGCATATATACGTGGTTATAATATTTGCTCCACGCGCAGGTGATCATGAAGGTCAATGGAAGGATGGTGGAAAGATACTGGCAATCCACTATGGACGACATGTATGAAAAAAGACTGAAGGATGTTTTATGTCCGTGTCAAAAATGCAAAGGAATAGTCAGGCTCGACCCCTTTGAGGGTGGCACATTCAAGGCACACCTGCTCATGCATGACCATACTCGGTGGATAAGTGAAGATGATGATGATGAGGATGTCGACGGGGTAGGAAATAACGACATGGGGCCACCAGACGAAGAGATGCCCGATTATGTGCCCGAAGAGGAAGACAACCTCGGAAATGTCGATGGCGAAGAGGCAGTTCAAGGCGGAGAAGACGCGGACACGCCACCGTCTTCGTCGCTACTAAGTTCAGCCATGCGGGACCCTCATTTTCGAGACCTGCTTCGCAAGAAGACGACTGGCGACAGAGCTGCTTCTAGAGAGGAGGCCAAACTGGCGCAACTGGAGGTAGACTCGATGACTCCTTTGTATGATGGTTGCGATCCCGAAGTGACCCGCTTGAGTTTCACACTAGAACTTCTAAAGACGAAGGCAAAAAACAAATGGACAGATACAAGCCTGGATGAGCTTCTGAAGTATCTAAAGAAGGTTCTTCCCGCGGGAAGCCTGTGTCCTACTAGTGTCGAGGAGGCAAACAAAATCGTGTGCCCTCTTGATCTGCCACACATTAGATATCACACATGCATCAATGATTGCATCATATATCGGAACGAGCACGCGGAAAAAACCATCTGTCCAAAGTGCAATGTTTCACAATATAAAAAGGCTGGAAAGAAAGCTCCATAGAAAGTTGTATGGTACTTTCCGATCACTCCGCGTCTACAGCGGTATTTCGTAGATCCTAATTAAGGAAGCAAAGCTTATGCGCTGGCACGCGGAGAGGGTGAAGCCAGATGACGGAGATGAGCCGAAGCTGAGACACCTCGCAGATGCTAGCAAGTGGAGAGCATTAAATGCTGAATTTGATTTTTTTAACAAATGATCCAAGGAACGTCGTGCTTGGCGCTAGTAGTGATGGCATGAATCCATTTGGCAACCAGAACACCAATCGTAGCACATGGCCCGTGTTTGTATGGATGTACAACCTCCCCCCGGTTGTGCATGGAGGAAAAATACATACACATGGCTATGCTTATTCAAGGGCCGAGACAACCGGAAAATGATATAAATTTGTATCTCGGGTTACTGAAAGAGGAGCTACATACCTTATGGACAACGCCGACCAAGACATGGGATGCAAGCAAAGGAGAGTATTTCTACATGAGAGTCGCGCTGATCACGACGGTGCAGGACTATCTCGGTTACGGCTATCTCTCCGGCCAGGTGTGCCACGGATATTGCGGATGCACGAGGTGCATGGATGATACAACTTCTCTACAGCTATCGAAAGATAGCGGGTCTTCGAAAATTGTTTACATGGGGCATCGAAGATGGCTCGAGAAGGATGACCCGTGAAGAAAGCGTGGAGATCTATTCAATGGTAAGGTTGAGCATCGAGGTCCTCCACGTAAGCGTAGCGGTGCAGAAATATATAAGTTATTGAAGAACTGGGAAGAGTGCCCCTCGCCGGGAAAGATGAAGAAAAAGGCGCCGGGGCCCCTGCTGAAGGTATGGAAGACGAGATCTGTTTTCTGGGACTTGGAATACTGGCCCATACTCGACACGCCTCATAGCCTTGATCAAATGCATATCACAAAAAATATCCTTGAGAGTTTGCTTGGAACATTAATGAACATGTCGGAGAGGACCAAGGATGGGCCGAAGGTAAGAAAAGACTTGGAATTTTTGAATATCAGGAAAGATCTCCAAATGCCCGGTAAAAGGTCGTCAGAGGAGACCGAGACAGAGACAGAGACAAAAGATAGGGGCAAAAAAGTAAAGAAGAAGGAAGAACAATATTACCCCCCCCCCCTCTTGCTTCACCTTAGATCCAAAGGAGGTCGATCAATTGTTCAAGTGCCTTGCCGGAATCAAAGTTAGTTTTGGATACTGTGGGAAGATAAGAAGATATCTAGACACTAAGAAAAAAAGGTTTAGTGGGATGAAGTCTCATGACTATCAACTGATGATGACGCAATTACTCCCGGTTGCACTTAGAGGGATTATGGACACACATGTGCGTGAGACGCTTACTGACCTATGCCACTTTTTTGATGCTATCTCTCGAAAGTCGATCAGTGTGAAGCAACTCCATAGGCTACAGGAAGAGATCGTTGTCATACTGAATGAGCTAGAGATGTACTTCCCGCCCGCGTTCTTTGATGTCATGGTGCATCTATGTGTCCACATCGTGGACGACATCATCGACCTGGGGCCGACATTCGTGCACAACATGATCCGTTCGAGAGGATGAATGGAATCATCAAAGGATTCGTTTGTAACATGTCCCGACCAGATGGAAGCATAGCCCAGGGATATCTGACCAAAGAGTGCATCTCTTTCTGTGAGAGTTATCTAGTAGGCACCGGAGACCCTGTTGTTGGTTTGCCCGTCTACAAGCACTGTGGAAGGCTCGAAGGTGAAGGTCACACCAACAGTCATAGGGATGTGAATGTGTTAGGCTCGGGCCGACAAAATGACCTTGACAGGGTAAACTTAGTAGTGCTACAACACCTAGATGTGCTAGAATATTTCGTGACACTGCACAAAGAGACCATCGCAAAGAAGT